TGAAGATACCAGTGTAAAAGCTGGCTGTCCTCTCCTCTGTCAGAGTATGCACACGTGCATTTGAGCCATAGGTTCATCATGAAACACACACCCTTGATTTCCAGTTGTTAGTGTTTTCACCTTCATTGATGGCCAAGAAAGAAAATATATTGCTGAGTTCTTGACCTGTGCTATTTGGATTATTGAAGAAAAATACTAAAGCTTCTGTCTGCATTGTAATACTTAGCACTGGTGATCTTCGAAAGGCTTTGAAGACTCTGGTCTGGATTCATTGCTGTTTTATTCCAGTTTCACACAAGTTTAATGCTACTGAAGTCAATGAAGTTATACCAGTGCAAAACTGATATAAGGCAATAGTGTATCAAGCGCACTAGCTTTCCTATCCTTGTGCGAGGCAAGTAAGCTTTGTCAAGAATCTGCTACTCTGCTTGTGTATGTGTGCGCCACTTCTCTCTGCTGGATAGGATCAGAATTGCTTAACTGTGTGTCATAGATCCTATACTGCTATCAACAACAGGAGATTTTCCTATAGCTCAGATATGAGGGGCATCTATGTTTGGAGGAGGAAGACTTGCAATCTACCCCTGCTATCAGCAAGGATTTTCCGAAGAGATGACATGCAACATTGTGACGTCACTTGTGTGGTGTAGGTGGCCACAGACTTGTTCAGAAAATTATTGACTCATTTTCCAGGTGGAGAAATTAAGCCTCTCAGCCTCAGCCTTGCAAGCTCAGATCAGCTATTCCAGGCCACGGGTCATTTCTATCTGTTACAGACGTACTCTCTGTCTGTGTTCATAGGAAGTCCTGTGGCAGTTACAGCCTAGTATCTCTGCCTAGGAATGTCTTGGCTGGTGGCTAACAGGAAGTCTGGTGGCCATGACTATACTACAGGAGAAGGTCAAATTTCCTTAATTCGAGTTTCCTCACAGTCTCCACAAAGGGAGGTCGATGACAGCCAACGCTCCCGTCAGCTTCCCTTACTCCTCATGAGGAATAGGAGTACTTGCACTGACGGGAGCACCCTCTGAGTTTGATTTAGTGAGTCTTTACAAAACCCGCTAAATTGAGTTCCAGAAGATTGACCGTGTAGTGAAGACAAGCCCTTAATGTCAATTAGCAAGAGGTGTTAGAATGGGTGATCTCTCCTGGCTGGTTCAGTTAGAGGAATTCCTACAGTATTTGCTCTTCTCCCTTCTTTTAAATCGGGAGTGGGGAACTTTTTCTTATCACAGGCCATTGACCCACATTAAAAATCAAGTGTGGGCCACACATGAGAAACAAGCTACTTAATTTAGGTTTTCTTCTTCTTCTTTTTTTTTTAGCGAAAGAGAGAGAGAAATATAAAACATTCAGTTCACCCACTCGGGGTGGACATGGAGGTGTGGGGCTTCCCCTTTGGCAGGGCAAGCTGGCACTGGCAGCTCTAGCCTTGCGAGGTGTGTGTGTACAAAGGCTTGGGGCTTCCCAGACAATCTAGCCTTTGTAGCTTCAGCACTGTGGGGTTGGGGGAGAGGGGGAATGCCAAGATTTGCCAGGCACTGGATGAAATTAAGCATCAGGCTAGATTTGGCCCAGGTTCCCCATACCTGTTGTAACTGAACATTTATTTTCTGCCCTTGTCTTCTTGTTCTTGCTCTCTCCTGATCTACGTTGCATGGAACAGCCATGACAGGTCCAGTCCTGGCAAACAGCCTCATACAAGCCTCTTTCTTCTGCTCAAATTTCTCAAAACTGAACTCGTCAAGATAATTGAGATGTGAACTCCTAATCCAGGTGCAGTGAGATCAAAGTGCCTGCATACCGCTGCAGCTCCCGTGCCAGAATGTGTCATTCTGCTAATAACACTCAACAGATGAGGTTCATCAAATGAATTTATAGAGGAATTCACTTACATAAACCCCAGCGAGAGCCAAGTAAGCAACACATTAATTCTGAAATGGGTTAAGCTCTTTCCAGTTCCGATCTGAACCATTTATGACGGGATTTATTTTGATGGTTGAAGTTTTAACAGCAAAACAAGACCTACGTGCTCGTCTCCTACTGTATATTGTTTGTTAAACCAAGCTTAGCAGCTACGTTGGAATGTTCATGATTGAGGAGGAAATGATGGCTCTTAGTCAGCCTGAAAAAGGAGATTTGACTTTTGGTCTAAGACGGATGGTCACTGAGCAGAAGGATCCATCCGAAGCGGGAGGTTATTTTCACTTGACACAGTGCCCAGTCAAACTCCCAGCGGAATCAAGGGACCTTTTCGACTGACATGGATAGAAGCTGGTTCAAGCTCAGAATGTGGAGGAACTTACGCATTCTACTGTCCCCCATTGAAAAAAAGTGAAAACATACTAGTGGAATTCAGTGGGAAAACTTACCTTCAAATTACCATTCCACGTGCAGTGGCAGTCAAAAATGCAAACAGAATGTTGGGAATCGTTAAGAAAGGGATAGAGACTAAGACAGAAACTATCATATTGCTTCTATAGGAATCCATGATATGCCCATATGTTGAATGCTGAATGCAGATGTGGTCGCCCATCTCAAAAAATCCCACAATGTAGATTGGAATTGGAAAAGGTTCACAATGATGAGGGGTATGGAACAACTTCCATAAGAGGACAGATTAATAAGATAGGGACGTTTCTTCTTGGAAAATAGATGACTAAGGGAGATGTGACTGAGGTCCATAAAATCCTGAGTGGTGTGGAGAAAATGAAGGAGGGACTGTTATGTACTCCTCATAACACAAGGACCAGGGGGCACCAAATGAAATGAATAGGCAGCAGGTTTAAAACAAAAGAAAGGGAGCACTTCTTTATACGTTGTCAGCCTATGGAACTTGTTGCACGGACCAGCACTATAAAAGAGTTCAAAAAAGAGCTAGATACATTGATGGAGGATAGCTCCATCAATAGCTATTAGCCAGGATGGGCAGGAATGACCTCTGTTTGCCAGAAACATGGAATGGCCAACAGGGGGAGGGATCACTTGATGGTTACCTGTCTGTACCTTCCCTCTAAAGCACCGGGTATTGACCACTGTTGGCAGACAGGATACTGGGCTAGATGGACATTGGTCTGACCCAGTGTGGCCATTCTTATGACGAGACAACCATAGAATGCATGTACATGTATGCAGCGACACACAGGTACTACAGTGATAGGTTGGTATGAAGTCCTTGTGAGCTCTATGGATGTTGAAGTACACCCAACATTAGCTCTTAAGGCTTGTTAAGAAGTGTAATGGGGGGGCTGAGTGCCTTGATATGTGATTTGCATAGGCAAGTGCAGGCTGGCCCAGGTTGCATGGGAGGCGTGTGCCATGTGGCATAGAATCGTAGAAGACTAGAACTGGAAAGGACCTGGACAGGTCATCAAGTCCAGTCCCCTGCCCTCGCGGCAGAGCCAAGCACCATCTAAATCATCCCTGACAAGTGTCTGTCTAATCTGCCCTTCAATATCCCCAGTGACGGAGAGACCACAAGCCCCCTAGGCAATTTATTCCGGTGTTTAACCTGCAATGCCATGTGGCGTTGGTTCTGGGTGCGAAGACAGACGTGTGTGTTCGGAGGTGAGGGCTGAAAACAGCCTGTATTTTACCCGGGAAAGGGGACTCAGGGCGCCTGTGTGGCTGATGTGGTGATTCAGCAGAGAGCTTTGTGCAGCTAAAAAGGAGACAGGCTTGCGAGCGCTGCTGGCCAGCAAAGGCCTCGCTGGAGGATCAAAGGACTGTGGAGAGAGAATCTCACTGAAACTCCTCGGATGCTGTTGTACATATAGTGGGCCAGATCCGCGGCAGAAGGCAGCAGCTGGGGGATGGGAGCTTCAAACAAGAACACAGAAATCTCCCTATTGCATCCCCTTGAGTCTGGGGCTGCTAGAAGCAGGAGCAGTCCCCCCGCACCAGGCTGGAGCAGCCTCTGGGCTGCTCTCATTTGCACCCGCTCAGGGGATGGAAACCAGCCAGGGATTGCCCCAAAATGGGGACATCCAGGCACGTCCTCTTTCCTCTGCTCACAGTGCACATGACAGCAGCAGGGAGGGGGTGCTGAAGGCGTGTATTTATGATTGGCTCTGGGACACCAAAGGGTCCTTCTTGAGCTGGGAGGATGCTTCTGGCAGCATCTGCCCATAGTGCGGCACCAAGTGTCCGTATGAGCTGGAGGATCTGGCCCAGTGTTCTTTGCAGGGAAACTGTGATGGGCTAATGTCAGCAAGGACTGTGGGCCAAAACCATCCCTGTGGTAACTGTTATTGCCTTCATTGGCGTTACAGCAGGACGACTGTGCTCTCGGGTGATCAGATCAGTCCGAGCGGCACATTGCAGATATCACAAGCGGGCAGATTGGATCGTTTCCCAAGTGGGGAACGGTCCCATCTCCAATCAGAACATTCTCCAAAGAGTCCCCATGCCACAGTCCCCAACAGAAACCAGCCAGTCAGCCAGCTTATGGGCAGATGGCTATAACTGGCCCTTCTTTTTTTGTCTCTTGTAATAAGAAACTCACGGCAAGCGTATCTCTCTAGGTAAGAATTGCATTGATGTCACTGTGTCTCAGATGGCAAACTCTCTGGGACTGAGATAATGTCCTTGCACATATTTGTACAGCCCCTAGAACAATGGGCCTCCAAGTCTGAGCAGGGCCTCTAGACAAGCAGCTATGAAATAATAGCAATGCAGACAGGCATAGCCGTGATCTAGACCAATGTTATGGCCTGGCTCCACACTGATTCTTCTGAGTAGTGCTCAAAATGATTGCAAGTACGGGAGGTGCACCAAGCGCTGCTGAGAAAGGTCCTGCTGTGATGTCTTTCTAACTGACCCCATGTCTTAGCAAATCTTGTGATCGGTGCTCCTCATCCGGGGCCAGGCTTAGCGATCGCCACTTTGCCAGGGTGGATAGAACCTGCATAAATAGCCTCCATGGAGTGTGAGACTCAGAATATGAAACTCTCCCCACACGTTCTGCTCTCCATGCTCAAAAGATCTCGTCTGTCTTGCAGAGGACACCTACACGTCAGAAGAAACTGTGGACCAGCAGCTAGTGCTGATGAAAGTGATGGACACAGCGGACCAGGTAATGATGAAGGGCTTCTCCGGGCCATCGAAGGAGGAGTTCTCTGTGCCTCTAGAAAAGACGGGAGGAGCTTGCTCCCGGTGGAACATGCCACAGGGTTCTCAGTAGAACGGCATGGTGGCTGTGAAATGAATGGGGAAGTGGGCTCTGCAGCTGATTATAGTTTGCTGGGAAGTGTCTCGTTGCGCCAGGGATGAACTTTGCCCCCTGCAGAGGCCAGCATGAGACGCATGTCAAGAGGGCTTCATTGCACGGGCCCAGTTCTGGCCTGCTGCGCAGGGGCCAATTTCATGCAGAATAGCAAATAGGGAGAAGCTGCAAATAGCTGCCTAAGCAGATCCTTTATTTCTACCCAAGCAAATCTAGGTTAGGCTTTTATCCTCCTGTCCATCACTGTGGGACCTGAGCACCTTCCATGTCCAATTGATAGCGATAGCAAGGCCAAAGGGCAGTGGTTCTCCAGCTTTTTGGCCCTTGGCTCACCCCACTCGATGCAAACCTTTCCGCGGACCACCAGCCAGCCACCCATGATGACAAAATGGGTGCAGGAGCGGAGGGTGTGGGGTCTGGGTGGCAGGGAGGGTACAGGAGTGAGGTGTATGGGCAGGGTCTTGGTAGAAGGGGGTGCGTGAGGAGAATGGGGGTGCAGGGTCTGGAAATGATGGGGGTGCTTACCTGTCTCTGTTCCCCCCACCAATCCCAGACATCGCCCCCGCTGCTCCCATTGGCCACAATTCTGGCCAATGGGAGCAGCAGCGAAAGTCTCTGAGTGAGCAGTTTCCTGTGCTGCTGTTTTCCCAGTTGGGCGTGGGTGAGTGGCAGTGCATGGAGTCACTTCGTCCCCCCACGAGCTGATCGAGCTTATGAGGCTTGGGGCTCCCCCCTGTGGGACTCCGGCGCTGGCACTCCAATCACACAGCAGGGGCGGGGCGAGCTCTGAGTCTGCAACCCACCTGCAAGATGGTCATGGACCACCACTGTAAGAACCACTGCCATAGGGATTTTGTTAAAACTTTGATTCTTCTTCCTGGCTGGGGTAAAAACTCTGCTTGAGGTAGAGGGCTTGTCTCTCTTGCTGAGGGGAGCCTTGTATGTAATCATGGTGAGACAGCTAATGGATAGAGCCCTGCACGGATACAAAATTTGTATCCACATCTGTGTCTGCAAAAGTGAGCCGCAGATATCTGCGCTGACATCTGCGGATGTGGATCCCTGCAGATATAGAGCAGATATCCGTGGATTTGCAGGGCTCTACTAATGGAGCCCAGTGCCTAGGGCTCATAGAATTACAACAGGAGCTGGTCGCCAGCGTTCCCTGTAAGCTGGGTGCTTGTGCAGCCGCTCAGGACAGATTCAGGTGTTGCCCAGCTGATTTGCAGAATGCACACTGCCTCCCACAGCTGGCAGCATGTGTTTCTGGCGCTGGTGCACATCGGCACGTGTCTAGGTGCATGTAACAGAGGGTACGTCTAGACTACATGGCTCCGTCGACGGAGCCATGTAGATTTGTTGTTTTGGCAAAGGGAAATGAAGCGGCGATTTAAATAATCGCCGCTTCATTTAAATTTACGTGGCTGCCGCGCTGAGCCGATCAGCTGTTTGTCAGCTCACCGCGGTAGTCTGGACGTTCCGTGGTCGACATCAAAGGCATTTGTTGACCTCCCAGGTATGCCTAGAAATATTGTACCTAGAAATATTGTTGCCCCGGTAAACCTCATTCCACGAGGAATAACGGGGCTGCCGACAAAGGGCTTTGATGTCGGCAGGGGACGTCCAGACTAGCGCGCTGAGGGGACAAACAGCTGATCAGCTGTTTGTCGGCTCAGCGCGGCAGCCATGTAAATGTAAATGAAGCCGCGATTATTTAAATCGCGGCTTCATTTGCCTTTGCCTATGTGTCTAATCTACATGCCTCTGCCAACAGAGGCATGTAATCTAGACACAGCCAAAATGCGTGCTGCATAGGAATGGAAAAAATTAGAGGGAACATTGCTGGGCACCCAACTTTCTCAGCCTCCATGCAAAAGCCTCCAGCCTGAAAGGGCAGTCACGCCATGGGCGCTGTTTGGGCCCTGAGAGCTGGCAGAGCTGCGGCCCAGGTGCTGACCTGTGTTCCATGATGTCATTCCAGCATCATTCAGCTGAAGTGAGCCCTCGCCAATCCCCCACCTCCACAGGGCAGGCTGGGTTGGGGTTCACTGCAAGGCCAGGCTCACTGATTCACTTGTAGGATGTCAGGGATTTCCTCGCAGTGGAACGCAGATGGTGACGCGCTTGGGTATGTTTTATTGTTTGTAGCTCCTGGAGTAACTCCAGATTCTGTGTGAAACAGACTACCTCATCTGGAGGGTCTGCGTACTTCTGAGATACGAGTGGGGTGGGGGCTCTGCTTCTGGTGAAGCGGGCCTGGCTAGGAGGATCCTTTTCCAGCCTGATCCACCAGCTTCGTTGTCCGCTGCGGCAGGATCGGGGTAGTGGAGAAGTGAGCTGCAAGGCACCCCCTGACCTCTGCTGGTTTGCACTGAATGTATTTCATCCATAGCCAGGGAATTGGGCCCCATATGCTGCAGTCTCAGGATAAGCACAGAGCATATTAACTTAGAGGGGAGTCCTGGTGCTGCTGTGCCCTGGGACATGATATAGATTGAATCTAGCCCCTCTGCTCAGAGTTAGTCCCATCTCCAGTAGACCATCTCCAGGCTCAAGGGCTAGCCCCGTGTCCCCTGGAGTCAATGGGAAGATTCCCACTGCCTTCAGTGGGCTTTGGATCAGGCCATCCCACCGGCTCTCCCTGCCATGAATAGAATTTCTTTTAGGTACAAAGAAAACCCACCGATTAAATCAATGTGAAAGGCTGCCGGAAAGGTTAGTCTTTCTGGAAGCCCGGCCGAGCGAAAACCTAACACCGACACTACATGCTCTGCCTCGGGGGAGTGCGAGCTGTTTCGTATCATTGATTCCTTGCACAAGGAACTTTTTCATGCCACGCCAAGTCCGCTCTCAAACGGCCTTTTGAAAGGAGCTTCGTTGCGAAACAATGTACAAAGCTCGAGACAAGCAAGTGGCCCCAGACAGGCTGTGATCATGGCCCTGGCCTATGATAATGCTGTTCTGTGTTCCTTTGCTAGGACACACCGGTGAACTGCGAACGCTATCTCAGCTGGGCCAATGCATTCATGGTCGTCTACAGCATTGACAACAAAGGGAGCTTTGACGGCTGCCATCAGTACCTAGATATCATTTCCCTCCACTCGAAAGGCAGTCAGCACGATTATCCCATTCTCCTGCTAGGAAACAAGCTGGATATGGAGCAATACAGGTAAGAAGCCATGCAGAGGGGTGACATTGCTCAGCCCAGATTAAGCTGCAGGGCATAAGGCGGTTTGGGCTCCAGCCAGAACTGCGTGTCTCTACTGAGACAAGGGGACATATTAGCACCCGCAATAGTTGTGATGGTGTGTCGTGAACAGCCAGTCACTGAGTTCTGAACTGAGCTTGCAATCAATGTTCCCTCTACATTTTTCCATCTTTGTGGAAAATAAATTTTGTCATGTGCACCGAGGCATATGCAGATGTGCACCACCAGGACAACCGTTCGCCAGGGGCTGGTTGGGATTTGAATTGATCCTGGGCGGCCGCCCAAGTGCACAGCTTACAGGGAAATGCTATTTCACACGAAGGTCACCAAGCCGCCGAGGGTTCCTCCCTCAGAACTCGCCTTTGGGTGAAAAACTGCACCAAGAAGAATCTGTTTGGCTGAATGCCACAGACCAAATGCCTGCCCTCCTCATTCACCAGTTGTGCTCTTGAAGCAAGGGGGCGGAACCTTTTTCAGCTTGGGGGCTGCTGACCCACAGAAAAATCAGTCAGGGGCTGCACACAAGTGAGAAGCAAAAAAAACCAAACCAACAACAACCCCCAAACAAACAAACCCCCAAACCAAACTCTCACTGAGGTGCCCCGACTGAAAAGGAGACAGACACTCCCCACATTCCCCTCGCACACCAAGGCCTAGGGAGGCCCAGGCTAGTAGATTTTCTGTGCTCGAGCCCCGTGGATTTTCTCTGCAGAGGAAGGAGGACGTGTGGCTGTGTAGTTGGCTGCCAGGCCATGCATGTTGATTCTGTGAAGGTGAATTGAAGGGAAGACCTATCCTGCCATCCAGACATCGGTGAGGGGCAGGCAGGAGGTGGGCAAGCTGCTAAGGCTTAATTCCTGTAGGCTTCCAAATGTGCACCCTGGGCCACTCCCTAAAATGGCTGAGGGATTTGTGGTTGTGTGGCAGAGACCTTCTCAAATGGCAGGGCTGCCTTAAAATGGAGCAGAGCCATTAGTTCATATTCAATTCCTTCTTTCTTGGCCTCTCAGGGCTTGTTCTGATCCTCCAGTTTATCCCCCTGTTTTGTTTTTCTCCACTCTGTTCTATTTAAGGCGGGGTATTTGCTTCCCCTTTGGCATGCCAACATGGCTGTCCCTGCCCTGCTCTCCCTCTCCCACGGGGTCTGGTCGCTCTGTGCGTCCGGGTTGCTAAGATGCAAACTCCAGCGCTGCCACTTCGGTTCATTGTCATCTGAGGCCCAGTGGAAGACGCAGCGTGAGGGCAGCCCCTGTGCTGTGGGACCTTGCCTCAGCTCTAAATGTTTCGCCCCTCACCCTTCCCCAATGCCTGCCCCGTGCCCAGGCTGGCTGCTGGAAGGTGGTTCGCTTCGTTTGAGGTCACTGCTATTTCGGGCTGGGTTTTTTAGGCGGCGTTGTAACGACGTGTGAGGAATTTGAACACGCTCCAGCTTCGTACGTGACAATGTCCGAAGCCCCGGCCTCCTTTTCTCAGAGCTCTTTGTTCCGTGGTTCTCTCCATGGCAGGCTAACTGATATCCCCAGGTTTGCCTGGCCTGTGTGTTGCTCCAGGCTGATGCTTTAGAGCAGAGGGGGGGGAACCTTTTTTGGGTCGGGGGCTGCTGGCCCTCAGAAAAATCAGTTCAGGGGAAAAAACCAAATCCTCACCGACATGGCCCCCGACTGAGAAGGAGAATGACACTCCTCCACCTTCCCTCACACACCAGAGCCTGGGGGGGTCACGCTAGTAGATGTTGTGTGCTCCAGCCCCACAGGAGGGACAGGGGGCAGTGGGGAAGGGGGTAGCTGGGGCTGCAGTGCCATCGCGGGCTCCCCAATGCTGGGGGAAGCTCTGAGCCCCCGGGGCTGGATCCAGGCTGGATCCGGCCCCCCAGGGCCTTAGGTTCCCCACCCCTGCTTTAGAGAAAACCTCCCTGCTTCTTGCTCACACAAGAGCCACATGATTAGAAACCCTGGGGGCACCAGTGCCTGTTCCGACCCCAGGGAACCTTTGCACGTGGAGCGAGGGGTTTCACATTCTTTCCGGCTGAATTGATGGCCCATGCCGCCCCCTCCCCGAAGCCTTCTCTTGTGAAGCTGAGAACAGCCTGCCCGTGAATCCAAGCTGTCACTGACGACCTCGCTCCTTTTGCCCAGTAAGCAGCAGCCATGTGATTGCACAGATAAGCCCCTAGTTGAACATCCGCTCTTGGGTACCCACCAGACTGCACCCACCCCTCCGAGCATGGCCTCTGCCTTGGGGTCCCTACGCACACTCTTCAGGAACAGATTCTTTATCTAGCACACACACACCCCGCCCGAGAGCTTAGCCCCCACAATCCAACTGCCTACACCGCGCGATTAATGCTGGCCCTCCGGCTTCCCCACACCTTAGGCACACCCTTCCCAGAAGCCCAGCTGTATGGTGTTCTGGGTCCATAGGTTAACTCTTCAATGCCATATGGTGGGTGTACACAGACACAGAGACATGCACACAGAGATGCACGCTCACTCTCTCGCTCTCTGCAGAGGGTTCCAAACCACTGTTGCTTTTTAAACGTCTGAGACATGCATCCATCGACACAGAAATAAACCCCACGTGCCGCTCCCTGCCTCAGTTTCCTCAAAACACCCGAACATTATTTGGGCTGGAGTCAGGGCCCTCTGGGGTCTCCAGAGCCCGTCTCCCACGACACGTTTTGCCTTCCCAGCACAGAACACCTCTCTGCAGGGGGCCCAGGATAATGTTGATAGTGAGGGAGCTGACAGCTATTGCACCCAGCTGTAAACCCTGGCTGGAATGGAAACCATGGCCCCACAGCAGCTTGTTTTGATTCTGGATCAGAGGCAACAGGTATAATAGGCGGGGGAAGGCATGGCCTCCCCAAACCGCCCTCTGGCCCCAGCCAGACCCTGCCCGCAGAATGCCTGCTGTATGGCCAGTGGCATGCTGCCGTCCTCCAGGGCTAGGGAGGCTTGGCTCCTGTAGGGGGTGGGGTCTTGGCAGAAGGGGTGGGGCTGGGGACAGGGCTGGGGGCTTCACCTAACTCTTCACCTACTGCCCATGCCCTGGATGGTCCTGCAGCTAAGTGGGCCCTTCCTGCTCTGAGAGCATGTCCGTCTCTTCCCCTCCTGCCCCCAAAGTCCTGTGAGGGGGCTGGGAGTCTCCCCTCTGGAGCCCCGTGGTGTTTAACAGCCAGCCCAGACGGCTCTCCGAACGCCGAGTGCCTGCAGACAAGGTGGAGGGAATAGCTTCTCCAAGGGCTTCGCTTCCCCGTTGTCCCAAGGGGCTTCCATCTCAGTGCCAACACCCCGTTGCACCGTGTCTGGGGGTGGCTGACCCAGGCCTTGTCAGCGAGGGGAGCACCTCCATCCACGTCCACTCCACAATACAGCAATTGGAACAGCTTCCCGATATTACCCAGAATCCCTGCGTTGTGCAGACCCTCTCAGCCCCTACAAAACTCTGTGTCTCCTCTGAGCCCCACTGCCTGTCTCCGCACCCTAGCCTTCCCCCTGCCCCTTTCAGCAGCGTGCCTCTGATCCGTAGCCAGAGCCTACCAGCTCTTTCCCCAGCCTTGGGGAGCTCCTCTCCCCTCCCCCCATTTCTGGTTCTCAGCGGCTTCTCCTTGCTTTCCAGTCTGACAACCCCTCTGCAAAGGCAGAGCCAGGCGCTCTGGATCTGCAAGCAAAAGTTGCTGCTGCTTGAGTTCACGGGAGGTAGCTGCAGGCTCATTGCCCTCTGTCCATGGCCCGGCCATGGTACTGGGGGTGGGGATGCTGACAGTACGGATTATACCAGCATCCCACAAACTCCACCATCTCAGCTGGGTCAGTCAGCTCAGGCTGTCCTTATCGCCCGGATGGTGTGGAGCTGCCTTGCTCTGTTTCTACAGGCTGCCCCAACCCCGGGCAGGAAAGATGGCTTTCACCGAGAAGCTTCCTACAATAATAGGAGTGTAGTGAGCAAGACACGAGAAGTCATTCTTCTGCACTACGCAGATGAAAGGTCTAGAGAACATGACCTATGAGGGAAGACGGAAAGAACTGGGCTTGTTTAATTTAGAAAATGGAAGACTGAGAGAGGACATGATATCTAAGTATTTCAAGTATCTAAAAGGGTGTTATAAAGAGGAGGGAGAAAAATTGTTCTCCTTGGCCTCTGAGCATAGGACAAGAAGCAATGGGCTTAAATTGCAGCAAGGGAGGTTTAGGTTGGACATCAGGAAAAATGTCCTACCTGTCAGGGTGCTTAAACACTGGAATAAATTGCCTAGGGGGTTGTAGAACTCCATCACTGGAGATATTCAAGAGCAGGTTGGACAGACACCTGCCAGGGATGATCTAGATGGTGCTTGGTCCTGCCGTAAGGGCAGGGGACTGGACTTGATGACCGCTCGAGGTCCCTTCCAGTTCTAGAGTTCTATGGTTCTATGATTCTATACCCACTGTCCCTTAGAAGAAGCCACTCAGCAATATGGCACTTGAATCATACAGTCAGAGGACTGGAAGAAATCATCTAGTGCAGTACCCGGCATTCACGGCAGGACTAAATATTATCTAGACCAGTGGTCCCCAACCTTTTGGGGCTGCCGGATACCCAGGGGCGGGGCCACTCACGTGCTGGGCATCCGGGGACAGGGCTGCACGCACGCCCGGGGCGGGGCCATCCGTATGCCGCGTGGCCGGTGCCGGCACCACCCATGCGCTGCACTTCTGGGGCTGGCGCTGCTCCTGTGCCGCGCACCCAGAGGCGGGGCTGCCCACACGCCACACGCCCAGAGCCGGAACAGTCCAGGCACCACACGCCTGGGGCTGGTGCCGCTCCTGTGCTGCGTGCCCAGGAGCCGGCAGTGTCCATGCACCGCGCGTCCAGGAGCCGGCAGCACCCATGCACTGCACGCCTGGGGCTGGCACCTCTCCTGTGCCGTGTGCCAAAGGCAGGGATGCCCATACGCTGCGCGCCCGGGGCCAACACAGTCC